CAGGAATGGGAAATCCTTAACGCATCTGCTAAGGTATTTACTGAAGACTGCATTGCTAGAAACCAGATCTAGTCCAGTGAGAACAGAATTTTAGAAAATGCAGGTCACAGTAAGTAACTGCTCTTTCAGCATATAATAGAGCCTACACTGAAAACGAAGTTTCAGTTGGTATCTACTGTCTTAGTTTGAAACCCTAAATGATCATGATTCCTGGTACTTTAAGTGGTCCTGGTAATCTATTCAACTTATCAACATGATATAGTTAGATTTAACCTAAAAACAACCCTGCCCCCTCCCTCAAAGTATGGGACGTGCAGCTCTCTAGGCAGTTCTGATGATTCTGCATCAAGCTTTGAGGCGCTTAGAATAACGCTCAAGGATTTTTATAGGTTCCAAAACCACTTTTTTTTTTTTTAGAAGACTTGCAGGATATGCAATGTTTATATATAGCTGACATGTATAAATTCCCTACATGAAACACTTCACATATATTTGACTATCTCTCCCGAATTACTCTTGCAAAGGGGCTGAAGAGCTGAAATGCTTGAGGTCAAGATTTACAAGCTTACACCTGGCTGCAACCACAAGATTAGGCACACTCAAACCCCTTACTGGCCCATCCAAAGCCTTATTTGTGCAGAGACGTGCCTATGAAAAAATGCAGTCACATCAACTTTGATATAAGCAGTAAAACAGGTATGCAATAGCAGACATGCAGAAACAGAAGTTAAATGCCAAATATTTGGCACCTCTGGATGTACCTCAAGGTCAGTTGCTCTTATGACATTATTTTCTAAACATGTACATTACAAATGCTGACAAAAATTTAGTTGTGCTGCAAAATATCTTAACTCATTTTTCCATCCTCAATTCAATGGTGAATCCTGAACTTGACATCATGTTGAGTTTTCAGAGCCATTAAAACAACATATTACAAGGCTTCTTTGTAGAATCAAAAAAAAAAAAAGAAAAAGGAAGTACACAATATAGAAAGAGCCATCATCATCTCAAAGCAAATGCAGAAAACAACTGATGCAAACCTCGCTTGTGCAATTTTTCTTCAGTTTTTCTCTGCTCAGTACTGTTTAATATAAATGAATAACTGAAGAGTTGTTCTGCTGGGATTTGATATATGTTAACTGCATCTGGTTTTTGTAGGATGACATTCAGTTACTGAAGGAGCTGAAAGTAAATCACGATCTACTCTCTATTTCATGGCCTCGGATTATGCCCACTTGCCTCAAAAGCAAGCACAACAATTTTATCTTAGGAGTGTAAGAAGGCAAATAATTTTACTTCTGAGGATATTAGAGAGTTTAACATTACTGTTAATTAGGTTTCTGCTTCTCTGTCTGGGCCCTCATATTGTATCGATTACTGTAATATGAAGTTACTTGGTTTAGATTTTTTAGATTTCTGTTTTTCCAGTTAGCTGAAAAACTGTTCACGTAATTTCTTGTATGTGTGTTTCATCAGCAGAACAAGTGAATGAAAAGGGAATACAGTTCTACAGTGATATTATTAACTGTCTTTTGGAAAACAGTATTATCCCTATTGTGAGTCTCTATCACTGGGATCTTCCACAGGTTAGAAAATATTCAAATTAGTGAAGTGTCTAATCTAAATGTTTCTGATAGTAAGTTTACTTATAAGTTTAAGGACTATGCGTACATTAGAAAAAAGTTTAAAGATGCTTGCATGCTTTTAAGTGTACTTACAATTATTCTCTGTTCATTTGCATTTTATAAGCATTATTGTATATCCTTCTGAGCCACTGGACACTTCCTGAAATACGAATAAAAGTCTCTGTTAATAATGAACAGAATATTGAACTTTAAAGGACATTATTAATTCTTGCAATTCTTGCTTACGAAGGTTCTCAAAGAAAAGTAGGGTGGCTGGCAAAATATAAGCATAATAAATTATTTTAATAATTATGCAAACCTATTTTTGAGAAGTTTAGTGATCATGTGAAACACTGGATTACTTTTAGTAATCCTTGGGTAAGTTATCAATGCTTTCTTTCTAATCATTCTACTTGAACAGCTGTTTCAAAACTCTTCGGAAGTGACATGAGAAGAAAAATAGGTTAACAGCAAGGTAGTAAGTATTCACTCTGTAATTATGCTTCTATTTATATTAAGCACTTCAAGATTATGCATAAACTGCAGAATTGCCATTTTCTATTCTAAGGTATGGCTGGAATTTCCTTAACTAGTGGCTGGGGTGAACCTGTTGATCCACACAGCCAAACAGATATAGAAGCTGCCGAAAGATGTAGAGTTTCATTTGGGATGGTTTGCAAATCCAATTTACAAACGAGACTATCCAGAAGTTATGAAGAATTACGTAGGTAAGCCACAGTAACTGACTATAACATGAATAAATTACAGTTATATCACAGTGGAATAGCGCCTGTTCAGCATGTAGTTTAGTCAAAGATGAAGGCATAGCAGGGACAAAGCTAAAGCAACAAACGGCCCAGGGGCTGGAGCCAGCCCTCATAGCTGTTTTAGGGGTCATACTAGAGCTAACAAAGTTCAACTGGTGTTGAAGCCAACCACTGCACATCTGAGCGCCACGCTCCGGAAAGGAGGTCACTATCTGACTTTCCAGCAACAGACTGTTTTTAGCAGCCTACTCAAGACAAGGGAGTCGCTAAACGTTTTTCCAGATTTTCCACCTAAGGACAAACAACCAACATAACCTTTATTATTAAAGGTTTCTTTAAAAAATAATCATAACCTTTCTTCACTAAAAGTTTGCCTTTTGAGAGGGTTCCGCTATCTATTTCGTAAAACGAAGAAGCGATGTACCTAGCAGCAAAGCACTTTCTTTCTTGTCATGTTACGTTTCCAAGAGTTCTGTTGACATTTATCACTCTCTTTGCGGAAATCCTTCTTTAACTCACTGTCTTCTCCACGTACGTGACTAATATTTCTCCAAACTAAAGAATGAAAGCTTCTTTCATTTTAAGGAGAAAGCAGACTAACTAGACTGTCTTGTACCTTCACATTAAACACAGAAAAACTAAAACCATTGTTTGTGATGTAAAGAAAACTTATTTCTGAGCAGCACAAAATTTCATTTCCTGCATTTATTATGATAGGTAGGATGAATGCCCAGCAGGGCCAAGGCACATCAAGATGATCAACTTTCTTAGTGCAAGAGAAAAACCATATCAAAGGCACATCAGATTTCCTGGGAATAGGTCGTTTTAATTTTCGTTATGTTACACAGAAGAGCTTTCCCTCTCTACATGTGTCCAGCTACGACACAGTGATTTGGCAGAACTGGTGGACCCAAAACGGCCAGCTCCAGGATCTGAATGGTTACACATTGCGCCTTGGAGATTCAGAAGATTACTCAACTTCATTAAGGTGATTACAGAGTAAATCTTTCAAAGGAAATGCACCACAAGTCTGGTTGCATACAGGAGATGCACCTTCATTAGCAAACAGATTTTTAACAGCTTTGCCAATATAGTTGTCTTTTTTACACTGGGAAGTCCCCTTTTTGCTAAGAATCTTAAACTCAGACTTCAATAACTTACAAATAAAACTCCTAGTTAACTGTTAAATTCAGTTGCACATTTTTCTTAAAGGTAACTGTAAGTAGACCTAGGGAATTGGTTTTAATCCATTTTACCAGGAATTTCATGTTCTGTCAAAATAAAATAATTTCTGTTTATAATATGGAATAGTCCAGTCTAAACACATCTTTGTTTGCAGACACAGTATGGGAACCCTCTTATTTATGTGACGGAGAATGGAGTTTCTGAAAAGGTACAGTGTACTCAACTGTGTGATGAATGACGGATAGAATATCTGAAAGGATATATTAATGAAATACTGAAAGGTAACTTCAAAAACATCTTTTTAGTGCACAAAATGTATAGTGCTATTACTTGCACTTTTTCCACCTCCCCCTTTTTTTAAAAGTATTTCATAGAGAAATATTCACATATCAGATTAGACAAAGGACAACACTAAGTTCTATCACGAGAATGGCATAGCCTCGCCAAAAGTACTCATGCTATTAAATGCAATAACTACAGGAGATTTAATATTGTACTAATCATCAACTTCTACTTTTAGAAAGGAGAAATTGCATCTAGTTACTATTTCTATGGCACTCTAGTACCTCTAGGCTAAAGATAACATTTTCAAAGGATCTAAATGACTCTCTACTACTTTATTCCTATTCCTCCTTCCCCCTCTCCTCCTCCATTTCTTGCATAACAGAAAATAGAAATAGTACCCTATTTCGAGGAAGACAAACATAAGCAAAATAAGTTTAATGGAATAATTTGTATTCTATTTTCAGCTATAAATGACGAGGTTAATGCCAAAGGTTATACAGCCTGGTCTCTGCTGGATAAATTTGAATGGAACAAAGGTTTCTCTGAAAGATTTGGATTTTACCACATTGATTTTAAAAATAAGAACAAACCATGATACCCAAAGGCATCTGTTGACTATTATAAAAAGATCATCAGTGCAAATGGATTGCCAAATCCAAGAGAGGTGATGGCAATCACCAAGTCTTTCTATTTTTAATGTATGGGCAAAAATCACAGTGAATTTCATGAACTTCATTTCTGTAATTTAGGGATGTGTTTTATATAGATGTCCAGAGACAGAGAGAGCGGAAACAGCCTCCATTACTATTTGTATAGCATTTTACAAACATTAATTAGATTTACTGATGTGATCAAAAAATTTAAATTGCAAATTATCAGTACTCTGTCAGATTTATTTGTAGAAAATTACACATACGCGCTGCTTAATCTGAAAAATATATGGAATGTATTACATGCTTTTTTCATTATTTTTATTTTATCAAACAACTAAGATATATATTGCAATAAAAGTCATCAAGATACAAACAAAGTTTCAGAAAATCATATATTGATAGAATAAACTAGTTTCAATTGAATTGTAGGGAACAAGAGTCCAGGCAGAGAGAAGAAGCTGCTGTGAATCAGACAGAGTATTTTACAATTTAATACAACTACTGATAGCATGACAATCTTCCCAGGCGGAAACTTGGTATCAGAAGGCAACGGACACTTGCTCTATCACAAACCACCTTCCTTGCTGCAGGTAATTATAGTTATTCTTTTTTATTTGCTTTATAAAAGCATATTATGTTAAACATATCTGTGAATACCACTACTAGTAGGTCCCAGAAGGAATTTTCCCCTTGAAAGCACAACCGCTTTCACATACAACAAGCTGCAATATCTTAACTTATTCTCACCAGCTAAAATCTCTGCAACTAAATGGATCAAATCTGGATTTTAATAAAATTCATAAACTAAGAGTTACTTTTTAAAAAAAAGGGCTAGGGATGACAGTATTTTCCTTAAAATTAAAAGGCTAAATACTCTTATGAAAATAAAAGAAAACTAGACAATTGTACAGCAGACCTTGCCTGCATTTCCACAGTGCCAGCCTGATCAATCTCACTAAAGACCCTCCCAATGTAATTCAGGACCTTTCATAACCATGGAAATAGTCTACAGCAGAGAATTTCTGAAACTTTTGAGAAAAATGAGATAAACAGTATAAAATCTCATAAGAACGAGATAAATGCTTCATAGCAGAAAAACTCTAAGCAGTCATCCTAAATTTATCCTGCATAGCCCCAATTGATGAGTGACATGATGTTCTATGTGAATGAACTGTGCTTACTGAACTCTTTGAGGCTTATATGCAGAGCAAAATTCTACAAAATAAAACTCATTTTATTTTTTCAGAGAGCTGCAGTACAGTCCTCAAAAGGTTAGACTGCTTCACAAGGCAATTTTCTTTTCTACCTTCCCCCTGAAGACTAAGAGCAGCAGAATACTGCTAATGCACTGAGGCTAATTCATAATAAGCGCAATTTTTGCAGTCTTTTGAGAAGTGACATATCTTTAAAAATGTACCTCAAAGAAAAATGAGGAAAACTTGTCACAGACTTGTGAACATTTTTTTTGCTTTGATTGCTGTTTATACAAAAATCAACATTTAACAAAATAATTTTCCCCTTAAACGTTCAAAAAGCCTTAACTTAAGGTAACAAGGAATGTACTACATAAGATTAAATTTTTTGCATTACTCATTTCTCAAATTTTATATCCCTTGATTACTCATATACAAATGCTGACAGAACTTGTGGTTCCCACTGTTTTCACATTCTGCATACTTACCAGTGCTGCCGTACTAATGTTTGCCCTTCAGAATCATAGCTAAGATAACATGCTTACACACGGTATCTTCATTTTGTATAACAAATAAAATGCTAGTTTCATTACATTGTTTAAAGTTTACCACAGATGCTTATTTTATAGCACTGTAATAACGATAAAGAAATATTACTTCACCTATGATACCACTATTAGTATAGTGTTTTCTAATCAATTCCCAAAACATAATTTAGAGGATTTAAATCAACATCCAAAGTACATTTGATTTCTGTATTATTTTCTATTAATTTTAAGCAGCAGACTTTATGCTTATTATTTTGGAAACTATTATACATTTTGATCACCAGAAAAACAGTTAGCCAAGACTGAAGTGATTCAAATCTTGCTGAAATAAACTTCAAGCAATTAAAAGCTGTTTGCAAATCCTGTTTTCAGTCTGTTCATCAGTATACTTTTAATTATTATGCAACTGCTATTTAAAAAGACACAGAGACAACTTTCAAATGGAATATGGTTTAAAAATTCCAAGGACATTGCTTATATGTTAATGTCTTATTTCATATGTAAAAGTTAGGATAATATATACATTACTATTGAGGTCCGAAGAAGAAGTAGTTGAAGTGGTTTATCAAAGATGGCAACTGCACTGTAAGATTTAAACCGAGGAATCCTTGTATCTAGTTCTATTTATAGGGAACTAGGTCTATCATATACTTTTTTTTTTTTTCACTATAGCATATTACATCCAGGAATGTGTAAAAGAAATAATCCAAGCACTTCAGAATTCAATATTCCACCTTAAATTCAGTCCTACTGCAGGTAGAAAGAAGTTAAACATATGATTACAAAAAAATTGTTCCAGTATATGGCCAGCTTCCTCTTTTGCTGGGCTTGAAATTATTTCTATAAAGCAAACTAACAAACAATTTTCCTATTTATCTTGCCCTGCAGTTTCAACACTATATGTGCATATATCGAATGCAAAGCAACAATATACAAATACAAAAAGACCTGTATCTTAGCTTCTGTTCAAAGGTTTTAACTGTTAAAATGATAGTTGTCCTTTTAGTATGTAATATTAGGAAAGGGGCAAGAAAGAAGGTTTACTGAGGAGAAACCACAAGTGGCAGGACTTTAACAGCTTTTAAAAAGCAAGAATATTGAGTTTGTTCTTATTGTTACATGTCAACAGTTACTGTTTCTTTCATGCAGAAAGTTTCCTTCCCAAATTAATTAATAAGTATATACAACACTATGTAACCATTTAAAGTTATACTACCAAAAGATTATACACAGTATCTAACTCATGTAATTAATTCCAACATTTTTAACGATTATGCCCAACTATACTGAAAATGTTTTCAGAAAAAAGGCAAAGGTATATACAAAACCACAGTTAAAATAATTTACTTTCCATTGAAGGAGAAACTGAATTTGAATTTGATAAATAATTTGATAAATTTGACAAATACAGGACAGAAAACCAAACTGTCAGAAGTTTCCAACGCATCAGATGAACAGCTTCCCAAATACGTCTGGGTGATGAAATGTCACACAACAGCAGAAAAACAAACAAAAAAAAGACAACATTACTTGTTACGTCAGGTTAAAATAATTTATTACTAGTCTCAGGCTGCAGGGAGCACTTGGGGCCTCTCCGTGAGGCCTGGGCTGACAGTCAACTCTCCTGCAGAACGCGTGCTGTTGTTGACGAGCTGTGTCATCAGGTAAAGGAGTTACAGGAGGAAGTCAGTAGGCTGCGTGGCATCCAAAAAGACGAGCAAGAGACAGACAGGGTATTCTCAGAGACCATACAGCTCCAGGAGCCCCAAACCTCCCAGAGCAGTGGAGTTGCTGGAGGGCTCTGTGCCGTGTGTAAAGGTGCATCATAACACTGTAGAAGGCAGCTAGAAACCTCATAGAAGAAGAAAGGCTCTTACTCTTCCTGAAGATTTGCAATTGAAGAACCCTCAATAGTGTCCTCCAGGCTGAGGAGGAGCTGGGCATAGCTTCAAGGGAAGCAACTGGCCTGGCAGACCCTGTGCCGTGCTGTGCCACATGGGAGCACCCAGAAGAAGTGGTGAGTGATTGTTGTGGGTGACTCCCTGCTGCAGGGGACAGAGGCACCTATCTGCCAACTGGTCCTCTTGTCTAGAAAGGTTTGTTGCATGCCAGGGGCTCGAACAAGAGATGTCATGGAAAGACTGCCAAGGCTTGTCCACGCATCAGACTATTACCCTCTGCTGTTCTTACATGTGGGAGCTAACGACACGAAAGGCGGTGAGTGATTGTTGTGGGTGACTCCCTGCTGCAGGGGACAGAGGCACCTATCTGCCAACTGGTCCTCTTGTCTAGAAAGGTTTGTTGCATGCCAGGGGCTCGAACAAGAGATGTCATGGAAAGACTGCCAAGGCTTGTCCACGCATCAGACTATTACCCTCTGCTGTTCTTACATGTGGGAGCTAACGACACGAAAGGCAAATTGGAAACCATCAAACGGGACTTCAGAGCTCTGAGGATGGTGGTCAAGGGTCTGGGAGCCCAGGTCATTTTCTCCTCAATCTTGCCTGCGAGGGGAAAGGACGGGAGGAGGAGCAGACGAGTTTTCCAAGTTAACAACTGGCTGCACTGCTGGTGTTGGCAACAGGGCTTTGGTTTCTATGACCACGGGACCCTGTTTGAAGATCGACAGCTGATGGGGAGCGATGGGATCCACCTTACTAAGCAGGGCACGCGCGTCTTTGCCAACAGGTTGACCAGCCTGGTAAGGAGAACTTTAAACTAGGAAAGATGGGGGAAGGGGAGAGTTATAGAGATAGGACAGTCAGCTCTAGTCAGGAGGCCTCCAGCAGGTGCATGCAGCTGGGGAAGTGCACACAGGACATGACTATGGAGGGATCCTCTTGCATTGCTTCTGGGAAACCTGAATGCTCAATTACCTCTCTGAAGTGCCTGTACACCAATGTGCACAGCATGGGGAATAAACAGGAAGAATTAGAGATCTGTGTGCAGTCGCAGGGCCATGATCTCATTACATGGTAGGATAGCTCACATGCCTGGACTGCTGTCATGGATGGCTATGTGTTTTTTAAGGATAGACAGGCCAGGAAGATGAGATGGTGGAGTTGCTCTTTATGTGAGAGAGCAACTGGAATGTATTGAGCTCTGCCTAAGGGTGGATGAAGAGCGAGCTGAGAGCTTATGGGTAAGGATTAAAGGGCAGGCTAACATGGACAACACTGTTGTGGGGGTTTATGACAGGCCACCTGATCAGTTCCTCTTCCTGATAAGGCCTTCTACAGGCAGCTGGAAGTAGGCCATGATCACAGGCCCTGGTTCTCATGGGGGACTTCAAGCACCCTGACATCTGCTGGGAAGAGAGCACAGCTAGACCCAAACAGTCGAGGAGGTTCCTGCAGAGCACTGATGATAATTTCTTGACCCAGGTGGTGGAGAAGCCAACAAGGAGAGGTGTGCCGCTGGACCTTGTCCTAACAAACAAAGAAGGACTTGTTGGTGATGTGAAGGCTGGGGACAGCCTTGGCTGCAGTGACCATGAGATGGTAGAGTTCAGGATCCTGTGAGGAGGAAGCAGGGCAATAAGTAGGATCACAGCCCTGGACTTCAGGAGAGCAAACTTTGGCCTCTTCAGGGACCTACTTAGAGGAATCCCGTGGGTTAGGGCCCTAGAAGGAAGAGGGAGTCCAAGAGAGCTGGTTAATAGTCAAGCATCACTTCCTCCAGGCTCAAGAGCAGTACATCCCCATGAGTAAGAAGTCGAGCAAAGCGGGCAGGAGAACCACATGGATGAGCAAGGAACTCCTGGCAAAACTCAAATCAAAGAAGGAAGTATATAGAACGTGAAAAAGGGGATAGGCCACTTGGGAGGAATACAGGGACGTTGTCAGAGTCTGCAGGGATGCGACAAAGGCGGTTAAGGCCCAGTTGGGATTAAATCTGGCAAAGGATGTCAAGGACAACAAGAAAGGCTTCTTCAGATACATCAGTAGCAAGAGAAAGACTAGGGAAAATGTGGGCCCACTGCTGAATAGGGCAGGGGCCCTGGTGACAAAGGATACAGAGAAGGCAGAGTTACTGAATGCCTTCTTTGCTTCAGTCTAGTGCTAAGGCCAGCCTTCAGGAATCCCTGACCCTAGGGACAAGAGAGAAAGTCTGGAGAAAGGAAGACTCTCCCTTGGTGGAGGAGGATCAGGTTAGAGATCATGTGGGCAAACTTGACATCCACAAATCCA